ACAGAGTAGGGGCCATGCCAGGCCCTCTCCATTAAGGCAGGCGGTGTGGAGGTAACAAACATCAAACACAAGGCACTGGCTGGGGCAGAGGGGGTGATGGATCAGGCAGGGGAGGCTGGGCGGGCTCCTGTCGTCAGGAGGGGTGAAGCGGAAGGGCTGTCTGGGTAGATTCAGGCCTTGCAGGGCAATGCCCAGGGATGCGAGTGGCCCCAGAAAGAAACCTGGCACCGCAGCCAGCCAACTGCAGCTCTCGCCTACTCCCTACAGCCCTTTTCCCAAGGCACGGAGCCTGAGCAGGGACCATAAAAAGCCACGGCCTGAGGGCAGATATGGCCTCCGTAAACCACAGTCTATGAATTGAAAAGTGTGTCCTTCCTGATTTCTTAAGAGGGAGGCAGGGATTCTCTCCAACCTCCAGAAGGTTCTTGAGGGGCGCCATTCTCCCATACGCCAAGGTCATGCTCTTGGTGAATGCAGGGCCCACCAAGTAGACCCAAGTAGACTTGGACTCTGCCACAGCACGGAGCCTGGGCCCAGCTGACTGGCCCCTTGGGCCCTGCGGCACCTCCCCCTACGCCCTTCCTCACAGCCACTGGGCTTCGAGATGCAGTGTCCGATGCACCGCTGGTGAATCAGAGTAGCGGCAGAGGCAGCAGTAGTAGAAAAATCCCCAGCCATGAAGGTGTCTGGGATCATTAGTGCAAGATAAGTGTGTGATCACAGGCGACAGACAGGGTGCCCCAGACTACGAAGGTCAAGGGCTGTGTTCCCTGAAGCGGCTTCGCTTTTCACGCTCCGGCCCTGCTCCCACCCACGTGAGGGAACAGTTCAGAGCGATGCCCTCACCCCCCAGACCTTCCCCCCAGTCCCTGTTCCTCCCTGTTCCCTAGTTCCGAGTGTGAGTCCCTGTTCCCTAGTTCTGAGTGTCTTCCTCCTCATCTTCCCCACCGGGCGGCCTGGGGCCCTCTCTGCAGGAGGGAGCTGGGCCGTGAGCACTCAAGCTTCCCACTTCCCTTCTCATCCCTTCCCGCTGGATCCCACCCCTCCTCTCATCCTCTCCCGGCCCTGCTTCACATGGTCCCCAAGGCCCAGCTCACAGGCCGCTGGGACAGAAAGGGGCTTCTCGTCCCTGCCTTCCCCACCTTGCCCATGATACACGGCTTATTCACCCAACACCAGGGGGCCAGGAGCCCCTGCCCATCGGTTCCCCGGCTCCCAACCCCCCGTGGCACCGGGAAGAGGATGCCAGTCTGGAGTTAGTGTCACCTGGAGGGTAAGGTTAATGCCCTAATTGGTGGCCAGCTGTCGGGTGGCCACCTGGGAGAGATATGCGTGTCCTGGAGCCACATGCCTGCGGGAGAGCTGAGAACGACTCCACGTGAGGCCGGCTCCTCGGTTACCAGTCAGCTGTTGGTCAAGGACCGAGCGACACACCTGTGGGTCTGAGGTATGCGGGGCCCCCCTAAATGCACGACTCTGCCCCCTCACAGTCAATGCTGTATCTGGACAGGTACAGTTTTGGTTTTCTGTTAAAAAAATAAAAACCCCAATAAAATACATCCAATAGGAGAGCTTCCCAGTCCACAGCCACCGCCCCCTGAGGGGCCCAGGGTGGACGCTGGAAGGCACCTCCCGGTCAGGGTGCTGTCTCCCAGGCAGGGCTTTCCTTCCTCAAGCCGGTTCCGCTGCCCTTCCCGGGAGCTGTCCCGTCTCTTTCCCATCTCCTGGCCCTGGAGGCCCAGAGGTGGGGAGAGGCCTTGGCCTCCTCCCATGGAGGACGGCTGCCGGCGCAGGGGGTATCGGCTCGGAGGCCCCTCGGGCCCAGCGCAGCCCCTGCTCCCCTCCCTCCTTCCCTCCGGCAGCAAGCGGGCACTGGCCAGGCCACCGTGGTGCAGAGGCCGGAAGCGGTGGGTCCAGCGGGCCACCTCTGGGGTTACGGCGTCTTCATCTGGCGGCGGTTCCACATGCCTCGCTTGGAATGGAAGTGATGGAAGAAATTCCGGAGGGAGAGACGCTCCACTTCCAGGCCTGCTTGGAGGATCCTGGGTGGGAAGGGGTGGGATGAGCAACAGGTGCACAGAGGTGGGGGTGGGGAGGGGGGCCCCCGAGGAGCCTGCCTTCCACGTCTCCACCAGGCCCTGTCCCTGTCACCCTCTGGCTACTCCCCACGGGGCAGGGGAGCGGGTGGGGCGTGCAAAGAGAGCCAAAGGGCCTGGGCTGGAAGCCCAGCTCTGGATCTATGAGGCACGGCATCTTTCAGAGCCTCTCCCTCTAGAAAGGATAACGATGGGCTGGGTACGGTGAGGGTGAGGCGAGGACCAGCGATGATGGAGGGGGGGTGGGGGGTGGAGGCCACAGAGCAGACCTCGCCCATCCCTCCCCGCCCCCTTTCCATATGCATGGCCTGTTTCGAGGCCTGCACTTCCAGCAGGTGGAAATAACTGGAATTTGGAGCCGTTTCTCTCTCGGGCTTCAGGGGAGGCAGGGAGGTCCAGAACTGGTCGAGTTCTGCCTCTTCGCAGCGGTGGAGGTAACACCAGCCTAGGCTTCTGTCCACCTTGGGGTCTGACTGACAGAGTTTTACGGGAGCTGCGTTATCTAATACAAGCTCCCTCACTCTCCCTCCTTTGCACCTTAAATTCCCTTCGTATTGTCACCTTCCCTCCTGCCTGCTCTCTAGGGAAGGAACAAACAGAACGGGTTGTTAAGCCTCCAACAGTCATAGCTGTGAGATTTGGGGCAAGTTGATAACTTCTCCCCAAGGCTCAGTTTTCTCATCTGGAGAATGGAGACAATCACACCTACCTCACAGAGGTCTGGGGAGGAATAAAGGAGGTGATGGGTGTAAATCACCTGCCGAGTACAGGCGCCCAGTGATTGGTGGGTGAGGAAGTGCCCTGTCTCTCAGGAAGACGAGTGCATCTTCCCTGTCAAGGTCCCCTCGCGCCCGGAGCCCCTGACCTTGCCTGTCCACCTGCTCTGTGCACTGTTCCAGCAATTACACCCTTTCTCTCGCGGATTTTTCCCCCTCCCTCCTTTGCCCCCACCCCTCAAGCTCAAATCTCAAGGGATCATCCGCCTTCCCTCCCCTTCTCTTGGCAATAAATTCTTGAAGGAGGAACCTCAGACTAAGCCTCCACTTCCTTACCACCCACATGCTCTGAAATGCCCTCACCCTGGGGTCCCACCAGCCTGCTCTGCTGCAACCCTTCTTCCCACCACTCCCTGCCGCCGGCTGGTCCTGCCTCTTCTTTACTTACCACAGACCCTGTCCTCCTCCCCCAAACTCCCTTCTACCAGGTTCCAGGGACCCAGAACCTCCTGGATACCTGTTGCCCTTTAATGGTCCACACTGGCTCTTTTCTTGACCCTCTGCCAGGTCTCTTATCCACCGCCACAAGCTCAGCCTCCTCCCCAGCCGTGTTCTCCCGAGTGGGCAGGTGGGAGCCTTGCCGAGAACAGTACCACTCACATCCACACGGCTCGGAGCCTGTGTTCTTCCCCCCGACAGTCTGCCAGGCACCCACCACACCCACCCTGTGACACAGGCAGAGGCAGTATCCCCTCCAACAGATCCAGTCTCAGCGAGGGAAGGAATCTGACCCCCAAGAGGCGGTGCTGGGCCTGGGGGGGATCTAGCCCTGCCCCACCCAGGGCCCCTCCCCCAGGTCTCTCAGGTGCCCTCGCTCCCCACTCACCTGTCCAACAGCTCCCAGTCCTCTCCACCCCAGCGGTCTCGGAACTCCTTGGTGTTCATGCCCCCGATCCTGTCCAGGTCTGACTTGTAGATGCCGAGCAGCCCAAATCCATTCACCTCCCAGTAGCCTGTGGACAGACAAGGCCCAGATGAGCTGAACGAGGGCCAGAAGGACAGAGAAGGCTGAGGCTGAAAACTCATCTGCACGAGCCCCTTGCCTATTTGCGGGGGAAGCCCCCGGAGCTAAGGTTCCAGGTCCAGGGAAGGCAGCAGTCCTACCAGGAAGGGACCAAGGGCCGGTGACAGCCCTACAGGAGGCTCTGACAGCAGCAGCCCCCGAGGGCACAGCCTTGCGCCGCTCCCTCTCCAGGTGGGGAACCTTCCTCCCATCTTTGTATCCTCACACAGCACGCCGTCTGGCACATAGTAAGTGCTTAATAAAGGTCTGATGAACAAAAGAAGGGGAAGATGAGGCGGGAAATGTTAATCGCTGCTGCTGCTGCTGCTGCTGCTGCTGCTGCGTCAGCTCAGCCCTGGGGGCACTTCTCTGCGGTCTGTCCAGTGGAGGGGGGGGCGTGCAGAGGAGCGGAAGGGGAGGGTGGGGGAGGGGTGCTGCCATTGTAGACACAACTATTTCCAGCTCTGGGTTAAGAAGCAAGACAGAGAGGCCTTTCCTACCCTCCCCAGCCTGGGACAGGCTCACCCTCAGGCCACTGGGGAGTGGCGCCGCAGTGCAGCCTCATGACCATGGGGGCGAAGGCCATCTTGCCCTCCACACAGTGCTTCCGGATGGTATCGATGATTCCAGCTGGGAAGTGGATGTGGAGGTCACACAGGAAGATGATGCTGTGCGGGTCCTGGGGACAGAGGTGGGAGGGTCAGCAGCCCCTACAGACCACGGCGAGGAGGCCAGGCCACTCTCTAGGGCAATCCTCAGGCTCTTTCCCATTTCAATGACTGACAAACTTGCATGAAACAAACTGTTGGATGGGTTTCCAGGGTACTGGGCATCAAGGCACAGTTCTCACCATCAGAGAGGGAATCCCAACTCCTCCCCGACCTTTCACGGACTCCGAGGACCCCACACGAACGCTCCCACCCGGGTACCGGCCCTGCGGCGCAGCAGAGAGGACCCCGTGTCCGCGTCCCTTCCTCCCCGAGGAGCCGGCCGTCTGCGCGTCTCTTCAGGAGCCTTACTCACGTCTCTCAAGCCACTTACCTTCACCAGGTCCACGCCAGCCTGAAGCCCGGCTGAGCGTTCGAAGTTTCCACTTAGCTTCATGTACTGGTAGCTGCGGGGAGAGCAGAGAGGGGCTGAGCCTCAGGACCCGGCTGTGGCAGCCTCAGGTGGAAGCTGGCAGGCAGAGAAGAGGTGGTGCATGCTCCTGGGATGGGCCTACGGGCAGGCGGGTGCGGCCTACGGGCAGGCGGGTGCGGCCTCCGGGAAAAGCTAGAGGCTGGGAATCAGGGAAGCTGGCGGGGCTTCAGGAAGAGGTGGCTCGGGCTGTGCCCTGCCGAGAACACCCTCACCTCCGCAGCCTGGACCTTCTCAGGGCCATCTCGACGTCCATGTCCTCGCTGCTGTAGTCGGTGATGATGATGTTGAAATGTGGGTCGCCGGTGACACTGAACAGGGTCTCCATGTCTCTGATGAATTGCTGCACCCAGCGCGCCTGGTTCTTTACTGCCCGGTAGGGCAGGCGGGGTGGGCGGGGAGAAAGAAGCAGAGGTAACGCAAAGGAGGGCACCTCCACTGCCGGTTCCTGCATGCTCAGGAGTCCCATCAGACTTTTGCTGAGGGTAATGCGGCTACGGGAAAGGTCAGCAGAGCAGCAGGGGACGGAGGGTAGAGGGAGAGCTCACCGTTACAGGGGCATCTACACCCCCCTCCCTGCACAGCCTCCCAGGGAGGGCTCTGCGGGAAGGCCTGGGGCTGGGGCTTGTCATCAGCTCATCATGGTTACCCTCCTGGGCTCTCACACTCAAACCCTCTAGCTGTCCATCTTACGGTCATCCTTCACGTTCTGTCCAACCCCACGGCTACACTCCTTGACGGGCTCCCCTCTCTTGCTATAAAAACCAGCCAGTCTGCCCTCCCTGTTGCACTGCCCCAGGCCAGCAGCCCCGGCTGATTTTCACGTCCAACCCTGAATACTGGTTCAGTAAGAAGAGCCGCTGGCCTATGAGTCAGGGTCCTTCCCAGCTCCAGCCCTGACTGCCCACATGACCTCAGACTAGTTACTTTTCTCCTGTGAGCCCGTTTCCTGAAGTGGCCTCTCCCACAGGTTCTTGTGAAACCACATCGGGGAGCAGAGACTGGGTGCTCGTGATCACGTGAGGCCCCTGCTCCGCGGACAGCGCCCAGGTGGCAGGAGGCTCACCCGGCACAACGAAGTGGACCACGGCGTGGTGGTTCCAGGAGAAGCCCTGGGGCCAGCACAGCTTGGGCTCTGGGGCCCGGGCACTCAGGACATGTCTCTGGTGGTCGTGTGGGCTCCACACCAGGCCTTGCAGGTTCCGGGCCTCGGCCTCTTTCCCACCAGCAGCATCGACGCCCTGCCTGCCACGCGTGGACACGAACTCCGAGAGCCGCACCAGGTGCCGGCCTCGTTCCAGCAGCTCAAGCTCCAGCAGGTAGCGGCCCCCCCTGAGATGGTCCTGACGCTTCTCCACGTTCACGATGCGCCGCAGCTGGTACCTCCTGGCAGAAAGGGTGCGGGGCTTGGGTCACTCTTCCCGCATGTGGGAGCAAGGCCAGTCGTCAGGAGACCTCGGTCTTTGCCCAGCTTTGCTGTTGGCTAACATGCTCGCACGATGCTTACCTGTTCCAGTGAGCACTGCTGCCATCTTTAAAAATGCACCTATTAGGGCTTCCCTGGTGGCGCAAGTGGTTGAGAGTCCGCCTGCCGATGCAGGGGACGCGGGTTCGTGCCCCGGTCCAGGAAGATCCCACATGCCGCGGAACGGCTGGGCCCGTGAGCCATGGCCGCTGAGCCTGCGCATCCGGAGCCTGTGCTCCGCAACGGGAGAGGCCACGGCGGGGAGAGGCCCGCGTACCACAAAAAAAAAAAAAAAAAAAGCACCTATTGGGTTTCCCCGGCGGCGCAGTGGTTGAGAATCCGCCTGCCAATGCAGGGGACACGGGTTCGAGCCCTGGTCCGGGAAGATCCCACGTGCCATGGAGCAACTAAGCCCGTGCACCACAACTACTGAGCCCGTGAGCCACAACTACTGAAGCCCGCATGCCTAGAGCCTGTGCTCCGCAACAAGAGAAGCCACCGCAATGAGAAGCCCGCGCACCGCAACGAAGAGTAGCCCCCGCTCGCGGCAACTAGAAAAAACCTGCGCAGCAACAAAGACCTAATGCAGCCAAAAATAAAATTAATTAATTAATTTAAAAAAATAAATTAAAAAAAAATAAAAGCGATGAAAATGTTCTGGAATCACATAGCGGTGGTGGCTGCATAACATCCTGAATACACTTAAAAACCACTGAATTGTACACTCCAAAATGGTGAACTGAATGGTATGTGCCTTTTTTTTTTTTTTTTTTTGGCGGTACGCGGGCCTCTCACTGTTGTGGCCTCTCCCGTTGCGGAGCACAGGCTCCGGACGCGCAGGCTCAGCGGCCACGGCTCACGGGCCCAGCCGCTCCGCGGCATGTGGGATCTTCCCGGACCGGGGCACGAACCCGTGTCCCCTGCATCAGCAGGCGGAGTCTCAACCACTGCGCCACCAGGGTAGCCCGGCATGTGCCTTTTATCTCAACTAGAAAAATGTTGGTGGGTTGAATGAATGAATGAAGAACAGGGCACTCATCCACGCCTTCTGCCCCTGCCCTTCTAACCCACATCTGGGTCTCAAGGTGTCTTTTTAGCCCAGTTTTGCCTGTCCCATCTCTTTACCAGCTCCCTCCCTGAGAGCCTTCCCAGTGTTCAGCCTGTGTCCTGGGCCAGGCCCCAGGGATCTCAGACCTTGCCTGATGGTGGGACTGAGACCCGACAGGCACCCATCCTCCCAGACGCCTGCGGCCAGGACCGCCCCCCAGCCCAGCCCACGAGAGCCCTTTACCTTACCCCCGGCTGCGCTGGTTAAGCTTCTTTAAGAAGACCCGCGTGACCTCGAGCGCCTCCTGCTCGGGAAGCAGCAGGTTGCCAGACGTGTTACAGCTCAGGTCAATCCAGTCGGTCCGCAGGGCTTGGAAGTCGAGGTTGCTGGCACTGAAGGTCTGGTCCCAGTTCACCACCGGGTCGAACATGGACAGGTACTCCAACACCTCCCTCACCTCCTCCTCCTCTTCGTCCCCCTCGTCCTCTCCCTCGGCTCGTCCTTGCTGGCCGGCAGCTGCTGCCAACACCTCCTCCGCCTCCTTAGGCCAACCCCGCCTGGGGTCCGGAGGCTCCATCCTGTCACCCCTTCTCTGCCTTGCAATGTGTGACTCAACTTGATTCAGCCACTGGGACTGCCCCAGCGTCTTCCCGGGGCTGCCACCCGCGGGTCTGGGCCTCTTCACCGGAGGCGGGTGCCCTGCTGGGTGTCCCGGGGGCCACTTGTCAGGATGCCGTGGAGCCTGGTGGGGCTCAGGGTTGGGCTTCCTGGCCTTTTTCTCTGCTGGCTGGACCGGGATGGTGCTGGTCCTCGCTGGGAAGGGGGCTGTGGAGTTCTGCGTGGGAGAGGGCACCACCAGGCCCTCCTGGGGCCGAACCAGAAGTCTCCGCAGGCTTCGGAGGCGGCGGTTGGTGGCGTCCTGCCCGGGGGCTGTCGGGGGCCCTTGCTTCCCCTCTGGTGTCCTGGCGTTCTGGCCGTCAGGGGCAGGGGTGTCCTCTGCCGCTTCTCCGTACTGGGATTCTTCTAGAAGGCCTTCCTCAGAACCTGCTGTCAACAACAACCATCCCTCGCATGGGGTTTCAACCTCTCCCCAACAAGATCCACGAAACGGCTGAGGACCAGTGGGTGAGCCAGAGGGGGTCCCTGGCGGGGCCTGCACTGGGCCCAGGGTGAGTTACTCAACCTTAGCTAAAGCCAGGGTCTCCCTCTTCCATAGGGTTGTTGTCAAGAGGCAGTGACACGAAGGACAGAAAGCACTAACCGGGGCCTGGCCCGTGCAGGGACCTAGCAGATAGCCCCACTTAGTCCTCAGTACTGCAAGGAGAGAGGCCACAGGAAGACGGGGCTTCTGCAGAGCAGAGCTTCCCTAATGATGGGCCGGGGGAGCGAGGCCCTCGGGCAGTTCAGGTAGCATCCCCCAGGGCCCTTCGTCCTCTAGCCGTGCCTTGGAAAGGAAGAAGGGGGAGAAGGGCTCCTCCCCCAACCCTTGGGGCTGGGGGAAGGGCTGTGGGGTTTGCATTCTAAGCTCCTGCGGGGGGGGGGGGGG